GAACTGTATAAAATTCCATGTAATCACATTAAAATACACTGTTCACAACAGTGGCTCATTCTTGCCATTGCTGCGTAGCTGATACAGGAAGCCTCAGCCCATCCAGTTTCAGTTAAGTCAGACATTTCACCAACAGAAGTGGATGGCCATCTCTGCCACAGTCCCAAGAACCAACCCAGTCTGGGTTGGAGGTCTCATCAGGCCCACTGGCAAGTCAGGACCCTTCAGAGGCAGCATCCCTAGAAAGCTCAGGAACTCCAGACACATACCTGGTTAGGCTACATTGCATTTTCAGACCCTGAAGAAGTGACTTGGACATCTCAATGATATTACAATGGTGGTCAATGGACTATTACTCACAAGGAAACCATCGCACGTCAAATTGGGTCTTCCTTGCCCTACAGTCCCAAACATCTGCTATCACATAATGGTTAACAGGCCACAGGCATCCACCGTTGCAGAAAATGGGGCTGAATTGTAAAAACCCTTGGATCTAACAAATCTACCCAGATAGCACAGACTCCTTTTAAAAAGTTTTTCGTAAAGTGACTAATGATAGCTGGATATATCAGACTCATTTTGTAAGATTTTCTGAACCAAATGGACATGGCAGAGTCTAAAGTGGAGGCTCAGAAAGCTCTGCCTTTGACTTTGAAGCAGCCATCAGGGCACTTCTGCCCAGGCCAGAGTCTGCAGGGGCCAGGGAGAACAAGCCATGGCCTGGGCTTGGAGCCCCAAGGTAGGTGTTTCAACCCCCACCACTGTCACATGATCTCGATAGTGGTGGGTCATGCCAGGCAGGACAACCCCTGGCCTCAGAACTCAACATTTTTGCAATACATCTCAAAGGCATCATTTCCTCTGCCAGAAACAAAACAAAACAGAACAAAAAAAACAGTCTTCCAGGGCTCATTGCAACAACACATAAATTCATCTTTAATTACTCTGGTAAATAGCACAATCCAAAATAACTCAGGATTCTGGTTACAAAAGCAACATCTAGTTCAGGTGGGGTTTTTATATGGGGTGAGGGTGGGTCACCCACAGACCTTTCTAAATGTGTACTAAGTTATTTTTATTTCCAAAGAACATATTGCATGTTTCATTGTTAACACTTGTCTACAACTTAATATCCAAGTATATTCACAGATATCTTGGGGACCTTCTACGCTTTTACAATCCTAATGCAGCAAACAGAAACTCACTAAAAAAATCTTAGGTTCTGCACCTAATGGTGATCTGAGTGTCACAGGGGCTCTGGTTTTGCTGGCTGAAAAGTGCAGTTTTAAAAACTGCCTGAAATCTGTGCACATAAACACGACTGCTGCTTAACCAGACTGAAAGGAACACAATGGACTGCTTCAGCCTACTTACAGTGGTTATGAACAGAAACTCACCACATTTTTCTTTTTTTCTTTTTAAATAATGTAACACTTAGAGGGGGCGGGGTGGGAAACTCTTTCTGGGAAATAGTGAGCTCTTCCACCTATTAAGGGTTTAAAAAGATGCTGCCTCACCTGCACCAGAACAATTTCCTAATGACAAGGGTTCTTTACCCAAAGCTGTCAAGGAAGGAGCTGAAACCACGGGTCCTGAGAGAGCACAGCAAGGCGGCCCCTTTAAGTGTTGTTAGTTTCCCACGAACAGAGAAGTCTCATCTGCCAGAGAGGATGCCTCCTCAACCCAACCCCAGAGTAGCTGCTTGTAGAGAAACCATCTGCAGGATGTGTTCACGAAATTTTCAATTTTAAGATGAAATGTTTCAAACTTAGTTCATGAAAGCTGTCTGCCCCACTCCTAATTCCATCCAGATTTTCAGACCAAATTTTCTATTTCCAGATATGTTAAGATGCTGTTAACGTTGTGAGAAAGGACCTCAGGTAACAAGTTTCAAAGAACACGACCTGACCAGACCAATGACAAGGATGGGAATGGGAGGAGTAATGACAGCTGGAGAAATTATACCAGCCCAATTTCCTTAAATGTCTTATAAGTCACTTGAAAATGGCTTCACCTTACCAGAAAAGTTTGCATAAGTGTATGTGTGGTTTGTATAAATGCAGAGTTTCTGGTTGAACTTGCTCTGAACTCATGACTTAAACAGACTTACTACTCCATCTATCTCACCTATTCGATTCTTCTAGTAGCCAACTCACTAGGAAAGTCTCTCACCAGTGAACCTTAAAAGGAAGCCCTTGATCTTTGCCATCTCAAGAATCTTCATTTAGCTGACATGTGCCTCTGTTCTTTCCAAAATTTTCCTGTTCACAGTCAACCAAAGTCAAAGAACTAAACTTTACAAAAAGCAAATGCAGTGTCTACCAAGAAGAATCAAAAGAGTTTAAATCTGAATGCGCCTGAAGTTACAGTATTTAGCACTCTGACAACCAGACCTTGGAGGATTTAAAGATCAGTATGGGCTGCATTCTGATGGCGCCTCCCTGATCAGCTAAAGGGAGTCCAAGGAGGAACACAAAAGATCACAAGGTAGAATGTGTCTATTTTGTGGTCTAGAAGCAAAACACGGTGTGTCCGGCCGGGGGGGCGGGTGGCTCACGCCTGTAATCCTAGTACTTTGGGAGGCCGAGGCAGACGGATCATGAGATCAAAAGATCAAGACCACCCTGGCCAATATGGTGAAATTCTGTCTTTACTAAAAATACAAAAATTAGCTGGGTGTGGTGGCACGCACCTGTAGGCCCAGCTGCTTGAACCCTGAACCCAGGAGGCAGAGGTTGCAGGGAGCTGAAATCATGCCACTGCATTCCAGCCTGGCAACAGAGCAAGATTCTGTATCAAAAACAACCACAATGACAAAACAGTGTTACCCAGGTTTCCAGTCACCTGCCTGCTTACTCACAAGACAACCAGGACCACTCTAGAAGGGGAGGCCAGGACACTGCAATGAGCCCCAGTTGTCAGCTGTTCAAAGCCCCTTGCCTCAGTGACTTCAGGCAGCACATCCCCAATTCCAGGAGCTCGTCAGGTCCTGGCATCTTGGGGACTGGCTGAACAAAGGCTGGACTGCAAATAGCTCACAATCTGTCTTGCCATTAAGTTTCCACATGTCACAGCATTTTCTTTAAATCTACAAATGTGGGTCCTATTGTGTGAACCAAAAATGCAAGTTTGATTCAGTTCCACGATGCCACAAAAAAAACCCAAGATATTTCCTTCCTAGGGCTGTTCCTTACACTCCTGACAAAGAACACGTGGCACCAATCACACTGCCCCACCAGGCTCCAAGCCACAATGCTCCAAACAGACACACAACTGAATCGGGGAATGAAAAATCTTGGCCTGCTAAAAGAAAAACCATTGTGCTAGAAAGCTGAAATATGGAAACCTGTGAAATTATGTATGAAGAGTCCAACGCTAACGCTCCTAAAACGAACTGAGCAGGAAGATGTGGTTCGCTGTGGACGGACTCCTTGTGGACAGGCTCAAGAGCCAAAGGGAAGCTTCCAGGGAAGCCCTCACCCCTGGGTCAAGGCAGAAGAAAGGACCCTGTGGTGAGGGGATGGTCAGAATGGAAAGCCCACTGCACACTCAGAAGAGAAAATCCACTGCCCCTGTAGTCGAGGTTTGTGGATAACAGCAACTACCGGCATTCCCACTTGCTCCTGAAGGCTGCCTGAGCCATTGCCCTTGCTGCCCTGGACAGAGACTCCCGGTGTCCCCAGAGCTCAGTGGGCATCTAGAGTAGAGAGCACACTTCCTAGAGCAGGATCCTGACCTCCCTAGTTAAGTCTTGGAATTGGCTGACCACCTTGCTCCATAGACCAGAAGATTCCTAGAGAGAAAAGTGGTTTCATACAGATTGCCATATTCCCAGCCTGTGCTTCTGAAGCTCTAGATAGGAACACATTTCACCCAACATCCCCTCATCCAGTGATCCATGGACATGCTTTCCAGTAAATCCCTCTCTGGTGGAGGACAGGGTCATTAACTCAACTGAGAACTTCATTTTTATCGCTAGAGCTAGGTAACATTTTTAAGTTATTACATATTTAAGGAGAATGATCTTCACTTACTCAAGTTGAAGCAAACATTGCTGCAAAAAAGCACTGACTACGCTGTAGGAATTTTGTTTGTGGTGGTGGAGTGCGTGTGTTCCTTTCAGGAAATACTCTTAAATACTTCCTGACTCTGATCATATTGCCCCTTCCTTTGAAATAACTTTTCAAAAATCAAAGAAAACCTATTTGTATTACCTTTACATTGCATTGCAGAATGTTTGCCATTAGTCTACAATGAGAAGTTGGCACTTTTATAAAATAAAATTGACATTCAAAAGATTGCCAGTGTTAATGCTTTGGAAAAGCTGCATGCATTGGTGAAATACTGGGCTGTTTAAAATATCTTACCAAATTATGAGCTTTTTTTTTTTTTTTTTTGAGATGTAGTCTTGCTCTGTCTCCAGGCTGGAGTGCAGTGGTGTGATCTTGGCTCACTGCAATCGCAATCTCTGCCTCCTGGGTTCAAGTGACTCCCCTGTCTCAGCTTCCCGAGTAGCTGGGACTACAGGCGTGCAGTACCACGCCCTGCTAATTTTTCGTATTTTAGTAGAGACGGGGTTTCACCATGTTAGCCAGGGTGGTCTCTATCTCCTGACCTCATGATCTGCGCACCTTGTCTTCTCAAGTGCTGGGATTACAAATGTGAACCACAGCACCTGGCCCAAATTATGAACTTTTGAAGTGTGTGTGACCACCTCTCGCAAATCACAGCCAAGGCCTGCCAGGGTCTTTGAGACTGGAAGGAGAGCAACACAAGGTTTTCTTTTGTTCTTTCCTAGCAGCCATACTGGATGCTCATTATATTATGAAATAATTCCTTTTAAAATGAATCATTTGAACTTCAAAATATAGTTTTGAAAATGAATAATGGTGTTATGACAGAACAGAAAGTCTTCTGTACACACACTAGAAATCTATTTCTCTCTGTTTGATTCTAGATTTAATGGGTTACCATTTTAAAGGATACTAGACAAAAAGATCTCTGTTTGGATCATTATATTGGGCTCCTCATTTAATTTTAAGTAATACAAAACAATCTAAAATGTTGCATTATTGCCACATAAACCACCATCTTCAAACAATGTTATAGCATATGTATACTGTCAATATCTCAAAAATCAGTGTATTTATATTTAAATACATAGGAAAAATACGGCTATGCAATAATGCACCTTTAAGAAATGGTTTACCAGATCAAGATTACCTAATGATATGTGAGAAGGCTTGATTGCTTTTATATTTAGTAACAGAAAATTTGTGTTATTTATCATTTGTCATTTTTAGTCATAAAGTTGTTATAAGCATATATGATTGAGTATTCATTATTTCATCTATGTGACCATTTATAAAAGTCTAAATTATAATTTGTTAACTCCTCATGGCTTTCTGCCAATAAATTATTTTTAAAATTTCCTATGATCAGTTTACTCTGGGAGACACTGCCATAGTCAAAGGAATATCTCCAACCCAAAGTTCAAACTAAATACTTCTGTTGTGTAAGACACCATGTTCTGAAGCACAGAAATATCTGGCAGTTTTGTAGTTTTCAGACAGGGGCTATATTTCAGTTGCACTTATGTGTTATTATTTTTTAGGTGAAAGAAGGCAATGGGTAGATTCCGCTCCCCAATACAATAATAACTGCACTTTTGACATTTTCGTGTTTATTCTAAACAAGATTATTGACAGTAATAGAAAGTTACCTTTACCCAAAGGAGGTTTATTTCAAGTGTCCAAAACTCCCTAAAAGTTTAAATGCTTTATTAACTATAATTTTCAGCATATAGTGTTTAAAATCTACTACTTCTCTAGAGCAGGGGTTGGTAGCCTTCTGAAAGAGGGCTAGACACGAAATATTTCACACTTTGCCAGCTGGTCTCTGCTGTGTCTATTCCACTCTGCTGCATAGCATGGAAGCAGCATAGAGAAGACAGAAACGAGTGTGCACAGCTGTGTTCCAGTGGAACCTGATTTATGAACACTGAAATAATTTTATATAATTCTCATGTACCACCAAATAGTATTCTTTTGAATTTTTTTAAAAATTAAAAAATGTAAGGTCGGTGCGGTGGCTCACACCTGTAATCCTAGCACTTTGGGAGGCCAAGGTGGGTGGATCACCTGAGGTCAGGAGTTTGAGACCAGCCTAGCCAACATGGTGAGACGCCATCTCTACTAAAAATACAAAAATTAGCCAAGTGTGGTGGCCAACGCCTAAAATCCCAGCTACTCTGGAGGCTGAGGCAGGAGAATTGACTGAATGGGAGGCAGAGGTTGCAGTGAGCCAAGATCGCACCATTGTACTCCAGCTTGGACAACAAGAATGAAACTCCATCTAAAAAAAATATTAATAAAATAAAAAATAAAAATGTAAAAACCATTCTTAGGTCACAGGCCCTACAAGAGCAGGCTGTGTGCCAAATTTGGCCCATGGGCTATAGTATGTATGCCCAGTCCTGTTCTATCAAGCAACAGTGAAACTGTCCCTCCTTAGAGACTACCATCCCCCAAACCACTGATTATACTCGCCATGTGCTGTAAAATGTGAAGACTTAAAAAAAAAAAAAAAAAAAAAAAGGAAATTACTGAGGCAGAGTCAAGGGGTGACAGACTCATGACCTCACTCAGGATGCCCCACTGCCCGCTCATGCACAGAGGGCTACATCATCTTGGCATCCACAGCCAGCACAGCAGCCAAGGCCATCCATACCCCACCCCACACCCCACAGGCCTGCCAAGGTGCCCATCTGCGTCTGAGTAGCAGTGACTCGCTGGGCCTGCTTCCTCGTCCATCAAGTCACCACTCTGCACTGGGGCTCTGAGAGGAATAGAAAGCCAGCTTTCCATCCCCCATCCCCTGTGCTCGAAGTCCCCGACTAAAAGGGCCCAGCTTCTCTGACTACTAATGGCCGGACAAGTCTCACAACAGCATGCTTTGTCTACACAAAGGGCGCTGGAGCCTGTGTGGCCGGCTCTCGCAGATCACAGCCAAGGCCTGCCCGAGGACTCTGGCATTTCAATTCACCAAACATCCTTACGGCAGAGGACAGAACACTTTCTACAGAACATTTTAAAGCACGTGGGAAATTGGGGCCCTTTTGCATCAGAGCGGAAGGACTGGAAGGAGAGGAATTTGTAGACTGCTGTTTAACGATTGTTAAAAGTGCGTGCATCATCAGCTGACAAAGATTGGCCGACTGCCAATGCCTCCCCAAACGCACGGGAGCTAAAATACAGAGTACAACGTAAAAGGGGGGCGAGTGGCCTTTACTTTTTTAAAGGACATTTGTATACAGTCGCACAAGTAAACAACGCCAAGTCTGGGCAAACATTTCCCGCATCCCAGTCAAAAGAAAAAGGTGGCTTGGCCCGGCCCAGCCCGGGTTTTCTCTAAGAAACAGGCTGGGGTGTAAAGGTCCCACGCACCATGCACCCACAGTCCATGGCATCTTCCTTTGGTGCACAGTGGCAGGACGCTTTGTCCTTTCTGTAGGGGTTTCCAGCAAGCTGCAAGGGCTGAAATATGGTATTTAAAGTTAAAAACCAATCCCAAGGTCTTAGAACCACGCCCGGGAGTCGGGAGCCTTTTTCTTTGGAGGCAGCCGCTCCGGGCCTTGGGAGTCTCTTTCTATTCTGCGCAGGCTGGGAATTCTAGAGGCCATGTAGGAAGGTCCAAAGGACAAGAAGACTGAGGCCGGAGGCTCTCGGCGCTTTGCTCTCTAAGCTCGCTCACGTGTCTGCCGGGATGCGAGTCGACAGTTCGACGTCTCCCCATTTTCCCTCCACAAGCCCCACCCTTCAGATCCAACATGCTCAGCAAAGCATCCCAGCAAGTCCCTTGGGACAGCGGCCAGAGCTCCACGTGCTGATTAGCCCTGCCCCACGGCTCTTCGAAGCACTCCAGGCTCAGAGCGCGTCCTCACGGCGCGCGTAGCGCAGCGTGTAGTTGGCACCTGCATTGTTGTCCCAGTACTCTCCCTGCGCGCAGCGGTAGCAGACCGCGAAGTGGACCTCGACGCCCCGCGCGTCGGCTTCCTCTCCGTCCTTAGGCTGCAGGCCGGGAGGCAGGCACAGTGAGAAGTGGAAGCACTCGGCGCCTGGCTGTTTCTCAGCATCCCCGGACCGGGGCTCGGAAGCCTCCGACGGCGCCTCTGGTGGCTGTGGCTCCTGCGGCTCGGGCTGCAGCTCAGCCGGCACGTCCAGGAAGGAGCGCCACTCCGTAAAGGTGTAGCGCACGGTCACGGCCCTGGGCCCAGGGCAGCTGAGCACCCGGCCGGAGCCCTTCACCTCCGCGCCCGGGGCCGCCGAGCACTGCACGCTCTCCAGGCACACGCGCTGCCGCTGCAGGCGCTCGGCCGCGGCGCTCGGCCCAGGGAGCTGGAATAGCGGTCGGAGCCGGGAAGGCTGCGCTGAGAGGGGCGCGGCCACCGCCGCCGCGGCCAGCAGGCCCCCGAGCTGCTCCAGATCCTCCGCGCGCATGGGGAAGCTTCGGAGGCGCGAGAGCACAGCAGACGGCACCTGCGGCTCGTCCGCCTCGCTGAAGTGCTTCACGCTGGCCAGGCTCAGCCCCAGCGTGTCCGCGAACTGCACCCGCTTCTTGCACTTGGCGCAGCAGCCGCCCCGGCCGAGCTGCGCGTCTTCCGCCCCCTCGCCGCCCAGCGCCACAGCCTGTTGCTGCTGCTGCTGCTGCTGCTGCTGCTGCTGTTGCAGGAACTTGGCCGCCTGCAGGATGGGGTCCGCGGGCAAGGAAAAGGAGCGCGCGCGGCAGCGGCGGCGACATTCCAGCAACTCCTCCTGCTCCTGGAGGGCGGCCTCTTCCTTCGGGGATAGGGGCCTATCGCCTAGCTGAGCGTTGGGACTCTGGGTCTCCGAAGTGCCCTCTCGGTCGCCGCTACCCTCCACATATAGGACCCCCGGGACTGGCAGCTCCTCGGCCGGCGGGGGCTCTCCAGAGGGGGCTGGTCCCCGCGCCTCCAAACTTAGTCGTGCCCCTGTGGGCTCCATGACGCCGTTTGTCCCTGGAATTGCCCGGGCGGAACTGGACCCCCCTGGAGACTTAACTAACTTCTCGGGCGGTGGCAGGAGGGCTCCAGCTCAGGCTCGCCCTCCCCGAGGCGAGTCGTCCCAGGCTCGAGAAGAGAACGCAGTCCCACTTTGGAGCCTCCGGCTTTTAGCTGCGGCTGCCCAGGGCAAAGTGGGAGGAGGATGCGGGCCTGGGGCCGGCTCCCGGGCCACACTGCCTCCGGGTTGAACCTGCCCGGGCCAGGGGGAGGGCCGAGGGCGGGGAGGCGCGGCCGCTGGGACACCTGGAAGCGAGTTCCCGAGTACTCGAGTGGAATGCGGGGTTGACTTTCTGTCGTTCGCAGCTTCCCTGAGGCCCCTACTCGCACCCCAGCGGGGCTCGTATCTGTTCCGCCTCTGGAGCACCTCGAAGTGGGGTGCAGAGTTCGCGCTCAACCGTCAGAGACCCCCACGTGCACAGAGATTTCCTGCCATGAACTTGGCCTGACGGGTCTGGCCCCCAGAGGATCACCGAGCGCTCCCCTCTCTGCTGTCTCCCGGGCCTGGGGAGTCCCCGGTGCAGCACGGAATTGGAGAAAACTTGCCTACGCGGAGGCTGGAAGGAAGCCTGTCCCGCGCCGCCGGAGACGGGGAACGTCCCTTCCCTTCTGCTCCTGCCTTCCCCAAACTTCAGGGCGCCCCCGCGCTCCAGTCCCACTCGGAAGCCTGACTGGATTAGGCGCGCTCCGCTCTGCGCTTCCGAAAGCCGAGAAGCAGGAGCCGCCGCCCGCATCTGCCCAGTGGCGGCGCGGGTGGGCTGCGGCCCGACTGGGGCGGGGACCGTGCGGGGACGCGGGGAGGAGCGGCCATGGCTCTCAGCAGAGAGCGGCTGGAGGCCATTCTTCCCGGGGCCTGGAGCACGTCTCTCTCTCTCTCTCTCTCTCTCTCTCTCTCTCTCTCTCTCTCTCCCGCCCCCCCTCCCCCGGCCCGCCAGCCCGCCGCTCCCGCGAGTCCGCGCCCCGGGCCTCCCAGGGAGAGAGAAGAGTGGCTCTGCGGGGCCAGCGCCCACGCCGGGCTCACCGCCTCCCACCGCGACTGGACGCCAGCGCCCCACGCCCCCTCCCCGCCTGCCGGCAGTGGGGGCCTGGCCCGGGCCCAGACTGCATGGCTACCGCCACGCCACTCTGGCCTCACAAGGGGCCCCGGAGGGGTGGGGGAGTGCGTCATGGTAGCTGGGGATTGGGGGAACTTCTAAAAGTGGTGTTTTTCTTGGTTTTAAGTCCACTTTGACCGTCTAAGTCAGTGATTTTCACTTCAGCATGCACAGACCTCACCCGGGGGCTTGTTGGCACGTCACAGGGCCCCACTCCCAGAGTTTCTTTCTTTCTAATTTTTTCGAGATGGGGGGTCTTGCTATACTGCCCAGGTTGATCTCAGATTCCCGGCCTCAAGTAGTTCTCCATCTTAGCCTCTGAGGTAGCTGGGATTACAGGGGCGCTCCACTGCTCTCAGCTCCCTAGCGTTTCTGACTCAGTGGGCCTGGGCTGGGTCCTGGAAGTGTCTCTAACAAGGGGATGGTGATGCTGGGCTCTGGGGACCGTATCTGGGAACTACTGATAAGTCTATGAGGATGTGTATACAGTTACTTATATAAAAAGTTGGGGATTCTAGAAACAGAACCACTAACTTAGAAATGTTATTAATTAAGGCTTAATAACTAAAACACGTCATGGTTTGGCAGAATTGAAAGGGGCCAGAGCCTTAGCCTTGTTGGCGGGGCGAGAGGGTTGTGGGGTGGGGGTGGTTAAAAGAGATGGTGAGTGGAGGATGAGGAACGTGTTAAGAGCTGTCATTAGGCCCGGCGCTGTGGCTTACGCCAGTAATCTCAGCACTTTGAGAGACCGAGGCAGGCGGATCACCTGAGGTCGGGAGTTTGAGACCAGCCTGACCATCATGGGAAACGCCATCTCTAGTAAAAATACAAAAAATTAGCCGGGCATGGTGGTACATGTCTGTAATCCCAGCTACCCAGGAGGCTGAGATACGAGAATTGCTTGAACCTGGGAGGCCGTGGTTGCAGTGAGCCGAGGCCTCACCATTGCATTCCAGCCAGGGTGACAAGAGTGAAACTCTGTCTAAAAAAAAAAAAAAAAGCTAACATTAATTGAGCAGCTATGGGGTGTCCTATCCATGAACTAGCAATCACATAATTCCTGCCTGCATATAGGACAAAACACTCCAGGAAGATTTCCCATCACCAAGGCCCCACAGGTTGGCAGTCATGGGATCTGAGCCCAGGCAACTTAGAGGAAACATTTCCCCCACTACTACTAAGGCTGGGCTGGACGTGGTGTCATTTCCCCCTCTACTACTAAGCCTGGGCTGGACATCGTGTCCTGTACACAGGCCCTGCTGGTCCCCTTGCTGGACTCTTGCTGGTCATGTTATGCCCAGTGTGGAATTTCATGATTGTGTCTCGACTTGGGCATGGCACCTCCAAGAGGCCCCAGGCACACCTGGCCCATCTTCCTCCAGCAACTCTGATTTGGGAAAGAAGACGTCGCTTTTACATTTAAATAAACATTGCCACATTATGGAGTTGCATACAAAATTCACAAACTATTTTAAAGACAAAATAAGACTTCAAAGAGATTTTGAGGTGGTGGTGAATCTTTCGGCTACCATCCCTCATTGGGGCACATGCTCACTCCAGGACAGGAACCAGAAGGAGGTGAAGGAGGTGCTGGGGCATGGAACTGAAGGAGGCATCACTCTCAGGTACCGCAGGTACCCTGGTCCCAGGCCCAGCCCACCCTCCTCTGTATGGTGAAAATTCTAGAGGTCTCACCTCCATGGAGCTCTCAGTGCATTGGAAGGGCCAGCACTGTACAAACTCAGCCCCTCTGGCCGATGCTGAGAAGGTGGGATCTGAGCTGGTCAGGAGGCCTGTGAGGAAGGTGAGGTGGAAGGAACAGCTCAGACTGCAGAGAAGAACATGCTGAGCCACGCAGGGGCTCTGTGTTGGAGGGAGTATTGGGGGGCCGGACTGGAAGAAGGCCACAGTATCTCTTCTCTATTTGCAATGGTTTGAAGGCTGGGGCTGGGAGGAGCTGGCAGAGCTGAGGATGGGAGGGGTCAGCCACCCAACCTTGAGCAGTGAGAGGCCATCAAAAGGTTTTGAGTCATGAATGTGACTAACCGGGTTTAAATTTTGAGAAGATCATTCTGGATCCAGGACAAAGAGCAAATGACTAGGGACAGAAACAATGTGAGTGGGCGCCACAGGAGGCTATTGTCATTGTTGTAGTGAAGGGTCATCATACTTAAGAGGTGATGGTGGTGGGGTGGTCAAGTCTGAGAATTACTTAGGAGTGAAAACCAATGTGGCACACTTATGGCCCCAAGTTGGGGGAGGTGGGGGGAGGTAGGAGGAGGGAGGTGCCTTAGGATTTGGACTTGAGCTGTTGGGTAGAGACAGTAGCAGTTACTGGGGCAAGGACCCCCAGAAGAGGCAGAAGAGGACTAGAGGGAGGGCAAGATCATGAATTCTGTTTTGAGCCGGTTCAGCTTCTCTGGTTCTTTTCAACACCAAGTGGCGTCTAACACCAGTTCTCCAACAGGGTGTCCAACAATTCAATTCTGACATTATCTACCTGGAGCTAGTATCTGTCTCCATAGTTTAGAGGCTCAGTCCCATAAGTCTGCTCCCACTTCAGAAGCCACTTGCAAATGGGGTGCCCAGGCTGCCCGCATTTCTGCCCCACCAGCTACAAATTCAGTGTTCCCATGACCCACCTCAGTTCCATATGACTCACAGAACTCAGAAAAAACTTTGCTTGAGTTCACCAGTTTATTATAAAGGAGAAAACTCAGGAACCAGCAAAAGGAAGAGATAGAAGAATATGGGATGGGCATGGGACTCCCAGGGGCTCTCTGGGTGCACCAGTCCCTAGGGTCTCCACATGCTCCCCAACCAGGAGCTCCACCAGCCTTGCTGTTCAAGACCTCAGGAGCTCAGTCTCCAGCCCTGCCCCTTTCTGGAAGCCAGTGGGTGGAGTTAAAAGTTCCAATCCTCTTGATCACTCTCTGTTTCTGGTACCCAGACCATTTTGAGGCTCTCTAGGGAGCCCACTCTAAGTTATCTTATTATCATAAATTCAGGTGTGATCAAAAGGGACTCTTTATAAACAACAAACAATTGTGTTACAACAAACACTAACAACGTAAGTAATAACAAATGTCCTATCGGAAAAGTCCAAGAGTCTCAGGCTTTCCATTCCAGGAACCGAGGACAAAGACCAAATGTCTGTTTTTATTACACCACGGTAGGTCTATAGCTGAGAAGAAGGGGTGAGGGCCCAGGACTGAGCTTTGGGCAACCCTGATGTTCCCAGGTCAGGAGGAGGAGGAGGGTGAGCCTGCAAAGGGGATAGAGAATGAACAGCCAGAAGGGTTGGAGGGAATGGGAGAGGGTTGTTCTCAGAAGCCAAGAAAGGACCTCAGAAGCAGAAACAGTGTGCCCCACCTCAGGGCCCATGGGGACTTTGGGATCCTCCCCTTTGCCTCCTGAAAGTTCCAGAAATGATAAGTGATCTGTGGCTCCCTCACCACCCCTCCACTCTGGCACAGTGGGTGGTGGGGATGGACTGCTCTCCCAAGCTCGCTGTCCCCTGAGCTTTCCCCCAGAGACAGGGCCCAGGTCTTCTGTACTCTGAGATCCAAAGCCCTGACGTTAATCGTTAAATTATGTAACAGGCAAAATAACTTTTTGAAATTTAGACTGTGCAGCCTACCCCACTGAAGTGTGTTCAGTCCCACAGCATGTGCCTCTGCTGCTAAAATGTTTACTCTGGGCCTTCAGAGGCTCTAGGCTTTACCATTTGTTCTGGTTACCTATTGCTGTATAACAAGTTACCCAAAACAGAGCTGTTTTAAAAAATAACAGCAGTATTTATCTTCTTTATTAATCTTTAGATTGGGCAGGGCTCCCTCAGGAACATCTTGT